GATGTTGGGGATGGCAGCCCTGGGGAGAAGCTCTTACGCAGACCTATGTGTAGGAAGCGAAACCGCCTCTTGGCAGCGGTGATCCTTGTGTGCGCACAGAGGAACAAGCCAGGGCTCCCAGCCCGAATTACCAGAAAATTAAACATATGTCCCCATTCACCCAGGCGAGGAATTAGACGTTGATCCGTCCTGATTCCATCTCCTTCAATTACAGCCGAGGGCAGGCGCTGCCTTTCCCGTGCAGACCCCAAGAAGGCTGAATAACCCTGGAGAGGTCTCCAGCCTGCAGTGCTTTTCCTGGGTAGGAGAGCACCCCGGGCACTGCAGCCTCAGAGAGACCCTTGGCAGGGGATGCTTAAGGACCCAGAAGGATGGTCATGGCTGGGGGAGGATGCTTCGGGTCCTGGGGGGATGTTCAGGCCATGTGGGAATACTTAGGGCCCTGGAGGATGCTTGGAGTTGTGGGGGGTCTGCCTGAGGCCATGAGGGGGGATGCCTGGGGCCACAGAGAGGATGCTCAGAGCCCTGGGGTGGATTCTTGGGGTGCCAGAGGGATGCTCAAGGCTCCAGGGGACTGTCAGTACCCTGAGTTGCTTCCCCAGGAACCTGCAGCACACAGGGGGCTGCAGGTCCATGGGTAGTAAGAGGGAACCTGCCATAAACCTCGAGTGATATTAAAAAGTTTTGACAGTAATCGTGAAAGCAATAAGCTCAAACCTTTAAATCCATCTAATGCCCTACAACCAAAGCCCCCAAATTATCTGCTATCATGCAGTGGCTGAATGAAGGTGAGCACTGGAAGGGGCATGGAGGATGGTGCCAGAGTCAGAAAATAGCACTGCAAAATAGACGTGAGCTTCATGGCAAGGCAGCCTAGGTGTTTCATTGGTCCATAGCACCAAGACCTCAGTCCTCCTGATGAAGGGCAAGGAAAGTCTGGCCCCAGATTGCTGCAAAGAACTCCCTTATTCTGGGATTTTGTGTTTCTGAGGGAGAGGAGAAACACCTTGAGATGTTCCAAGAGCAGGAAACGCAGGCTAGCTTGGGTGGGAAATGGGCTGGTGGCTCCAACCCGTGTACCCACAGGGGTGTCTCTGCCTTTGACCTTGCTGGCAAGAAGCAAACGGCCTTGCTGCAAAGCCAGGGGAAGTTTGTCTTTTTTGTTGACAAAACAGTTTGTCTAATCCTTCACAGGTGAATAACAAACGTTAATATTTTTGTACAGCATCACTGTGAAGTCCTGCAACTGGCCACGCAGCAGCTGACACGGCTGCATATACAATGCTTGCAAGGAGAGGACAACTTCCAGAAAACATCCAAAAAATCTGTGCTTAGAGACCACCGGCAGCAACATGAGAAACCAAATGGATTTTTTTTTTCATTTCAGGTTTTAAGGAAGGACACAGTTCGCTGCTGAGAGCACGGAGACCTGTTGCCTGTTGTGAAAGTCCCAAGGATGGGCCACCTCCTGGCTCACCATGTTCTCCAACCCCATGCCCTCCACTGGGCAAGCATCCCTGGGAGAGCCCCAGAAGACAGTTGCCCACAGGGCATCTCCGAGTTTGATTGCTGCTGCTGGGGAGGAAAGGCTGTGAAGCCATGCCCCATCCTGTGATCTCAGGGCACTGCTGGCAGTCACTTCCCTGCTCCTCCCCAGGAAGGAGGCATCTCAGTGCCTTCAACAGCCCCTAAAGACAGGAAAGCATCATGGATGGAGGTGTTGCTGCTACAGAAGAAGCCACACTTCACACTGATCTACAGGTAGATGAGCTGACCTGTGCTCAGACCCAGCCCCAAATACCTCTTGAGATGGCCTGTTCCTGGACCCATGCGCCACAGGGTGAGCTGGAGGAGAGGTACCACCCTGCAAGGGCTCCTCCAAGGGCCCCTCTTGGAGCTCAGATCCCAGCAGGAGGCTTTGTACCCGAGCTGGGCTGGCAGCGTGGTGGGGCAGCTCATTACCCCAATGGCAGGGAGCTTTGCCACGATGCTGTCACCCTGCAGCCTCAAAACACACTGCAAACTCAGAAAGCAACTAGTGGCACCCGTGGTCACTGGGACGGGGGCACCAGCCTGCCTGGCACGCAGGTTACAGGCAGCAGCAGAGAAATTAGGGCAGGCAGGGTCTGAGCATCTCCTCTGCTGGCAGAACACACCCCAACCTCCTTGGTGTGCTGAAATTCTTCCATGCAAAGCAAGATGGAAGTCTCCCCTTGCTCCCCACAGGGGTGTCAAAAAGAGGGTTTATTTACAGAATATTCATGGTTGGAAGGGACCTTTGAGATCATCGAGCTCAGCCGGAAAGAAAAAAAAACCCAAAACCAAACCAACCAAACAAAAAACCCCACCACAAACCAACACCCACCCCCACCACACCACCCCAGACAGACAAAACCCAACAATCTCGGGCACTAGAGCATGCCCTGAAGTGCCATGTCTACACGTTTCTTAAATACCTCCAGGGATGGTGACTCCACCACCTCCCTGGGCAGGCTGTTCCAGTGCCTGACCACTCTCTCAGTAAAGTAGTTCTTCCTAATATCTAATGTAAACCTCCTCTGCCCCAACTTCAGACCATTTCCTCTGCTCCTGTCATTATTCCCTTGGGAGAAGAGGCCAACTCCCACCTCTCTAGAACCTCCTTTCAGGTAGTTGTAGAGGGCAATGAGGTCCCCTCTCAGCTTCCTCTTCTCCAAACTAAACATGCCCAGTTCCCTCAGCCTCTCCTTGTAGGACTTGTTCTCCAGACCCCTCACCAGCTTGGTGGCTCTCCTCTGGACACGCTGCAGCAGCTCAATGTCCTTCTTGTAGTGAGGGGCCCAGAACTGAACACAGCACTCGAGGTGAGGCCTCACCAGTGCCCAGTACAGAGGCACCATCACTGCCCTGCTCCTGCTGGCCATGCTATCCCTGATACAAACCAGTATGCCGTTGGCCTTCTTGGCCACTTGGGCACACTGCTGGCTCATGTTAAGCCAGCTGTCCACCAACACCCCCACATCCTTTTCTGCTGGCCAGCTCTCCAGCCACTCTTCCCCAAGCCTGTAGCATTGCCTGGGGTTGGTGTGACCTGGGTGCAGGACCCAGCACTTGGCCTTATTAAACCTCATCCCATTGGTCTTGGCCCATTGATCCAACCTGTCCAGATCCCTCTGTAGAGCCTTCCGACTCTCAAGCACATCAATACTCCCACCTAGTCTGGTGTCACCTGCGAACTTACTGAGGGTGCACTCAATCCCCTTATCTAGATCATCAATAAAGATATTAAACAAGACTGGCCCCAGAACCGAGCCCAGAGGGACACCACTGGTGACCGGCCACCAACTGGATTTCACCCCATTAATCACAACTCTCTGAGCACGACCATCCAGCCTATCTGCTCTCTTTCCTGGCAAAGCACGATGGTTCCCAGGTTTGCAAATCACACTGGGTGCTTTGAGGCATTGCCTTCACTTTTTTCCTCCCCCTCCGTGCCCCCGGATCGCAGCAGAAGGTGCAGCAGCAAGGCTGCCTTTAGCTGCTCAGAATTCCCTGGGGCAGCCAGCTCCCCTCCCCAGGCGGGGGGCACCGATTGGGTTTTTCTCCCTCTCTCCACCTGTCCGGGGTAAGTGATGCTGATGCTAACACTTCATCATCATTAAAGCATCGTTGCCGCGACAAGCCCTTGCTTTCTCATCTGTCAGTGGCACTGGACACGCAGAGAGCATCTCCATCGCTGGAATAAATAGCCCTTAAAAGAGGAGGCAAGAGCCAAACAGCCTCTGGGGGCTCAGAGCATCTGTGAGGGCTCAGGGGAGCCCTCAGAGGAGAAGGCACCAAATCCCCCTTTCTGGAACCCCACCTCCCCAGGAAGCCACCCCGACCCACCAGCCAGTGGGCTTTGCATCCCTGTAAGGAGAGGCTTTGCAGGCTCACGGACAGACAAATAGCTCTGCAAACAGCCACGGGGAAAACAGGCACCTGGGGGACGTCAGTCCAAGGGCTGTGCTGAACGCAAGGATTTTAAACCCTGATTTTTATTGCAAACAAGTATAACGGGCTCTCGGCACGATGGCCGGGGCAGTGCAGCCGAGCGGGGACCTTCTGCTGCGAGCTGGGGGCACGGAGGGGGAGGAAAAAAGTTGGGGCAATGCCCCAAAGCACCCAGTGTGATTTGGAAACCTGGGAACCATCGTGCTTTGCCAGGAAAGAGAGCAGATAGGCTGGATGGCCGTGCTCAGAGAGTTGTGATCAATGGGGTGAAATCCAGTTGGTGGCCAGTCACCAGTGGTGTCCCTCAGGGCTTGTTTCTGGGGCCAGTCTTGTTTAATATCTTTATTGATGATCTAGATAGACTAGAAGAGCTGTGCAGAAGAGGCTAAAAATTGCCCCAAACCGGTGTCTTGAGGTGGGGGGGAGCAAGCTCTGCTTGGTCACACAGTGCTGGGGAGGTCTCCTTGGTGGCTGCAGGGTGCTGGGCTCCCTCTCCATCCTCCTCCCAGCCCCGTGGGGCAGAGGCAGCTTCACAGTGGGAATTGCAGTGGGATATTGGGCCTTACAGGTTCCTCAGGGCTTTTTAAAATGCAAAATGCCCCTTAGCACCACTATTGCCACACGCGAGGCTTTTAGATGCCACAGGAGCCTACCAAAGGAATTAAAACCCACGTTCAGACTTAAAATAGGGTATTAAAGTGAAACTCTAGCAGCTCCAGCACTGTTCAGCAGCCCCATGGCTGCCCCATAGATGAGACTAAGGAAGGCTCTTTCACCACATGTCTTTGCCTCGGGATGAGGCTGTGCCATCCCACCCTTGCCAGCAGGTTCAGCACATCCCAGGTGCTTCACGTGCCCCTCCAGCTTACCTGCAGGAACCACACCACGTACCTGGGATTTGCCTGGAGCCAAATTCACACCCATTTTCCAGCTGGGTAAAACTGAGCCCGGAGGTAGGAAGGGCAAGGCAGGAGTTACTGGGATGGCTCAGGCCTTTGACCACTTCCAGGGCATCCAGGGCAGCTCACCTGGTCCTGCCAAGCTGGGGGACACAGCAGGGAACCAGCACATGGGTACCAGCATTTCCATCACTTGGCTGTGCACGGGTTGCTAGGAAAAAAAAAAGATGATAAATAAAGATAAATGGAGGAGAGCGGAGCATGCCGGCAACCCTTCTCCATCATTCCTTTTCTTCCCTAAGCAGATCAAATTATGACCTGAAATCACTGAATACATATTTTATTATGTGGATAATTTAAAGGATGAGGGTGAGACAGAGAATTCATAAGGTACAGTCATGTTAAAAGACAAAGAGTTCCCATTAATCTCCTACAGGAAAAAAACTGAACAGGAGAAAAAAAGGGCCGGGGGGGGGGGGGGAGAAGGTGGGACACA